ATTAATTTATTTAGGAGCAGGAACGTCTAAAAGACTGTTGAATTTTCTATTTTATTGTTAAACGTATTTAATTGTAATGAAGAAATGTTGTGTACAGAAGAGCAAGGCTGCATCAGTGAGTTCGAGAACACAGCCGCGTACAGCCGAGAGTACCAGCTTGCTCAGCGCTGCATGTGCGACGGCGAGCACATGTTCAGCTGCCCACCAGACGCCGCCGATCTTGAGCTACGCTTCCCCGATCATCACAAGAGCCTCGCTGCTAAGAAGTTTAACATAGACGTAAGTTTTTTTGATCTACTTTTTTAAGATGTATACCACTTTCAGTCTTATGATCTTTTGAATGTATACAATCGACTGTTTCTTCTCCTAAGCGCTTTGCAGATATAGCTACTGTTACCGAAAATGATTGCCAACAGGATTAGGAACTGTTAATAATTCAGCCTACAAAACTAGACACGTCACACGTAGCACTAGTGTTGCGTATTCTGATAGTCGACAAATGTTTTTTACTGCTGCAATCTATGATAAAAATGATAAAAATCTATGATTGCCTGATTGCCACAACTTGGAACTAAAATTGTTTGGGCAATTGTTTGTTAGTTGTTGCAACTATGTCTGCGAAACGCTTTATTGAGATGGGTAATTAAAATTTCAGGTAGACAACCCTTATCTTCTGGGGGAACGTTTGCCGATCGCGGCCAAGAAGGGTTTCGATGTCCGCGTATTCTAAATGTAAACGTTTTTAGATTCGATGTCTATTTAAGATCAGTAACGAGATAAGAGCATTTTCTCCGTGATTCCGACTATTTTAACCTTTTACCTATAAATAAGTTAGAAATCATTGCAACCTCATTTAAGTGTAAGCACACGTGATAGAATGTTTATGGAATGAAGCACAAAATAATGAACAACCAGTGAAAAGGTTCACTTGTATTTTATGTTTTTTTGTGCGAAGTTTTATTAAGTTTATCCCTCCTTACTTTATTATTACATAAGATTTGTACATATAACAAGGACAATGAAGACAAACATAGCACAGTACATACAAACGTAGATATTATTACATTAGTTAATAACTTATCAAATAATATATTTGAATATTTGATAATTTGTTAACTTGTGTAATGTAAGTAAATGTAAGTTACTGGTATAATTTTTTCAACAATCTCATGACATTTTTTTTATTTTACGTAATTATTAATGATTTCATATGAAGTTTTAGGAAAGAATGAAAGTAAGAGGTGTTTGGGCGTAATTTGATATTGGCTTTACATAACAACTTTGTTGTAGGAAAAAATAAATACAAGGGTAAAAGAAATGTACCAACTTAAAAAGTGGTTGAATTTACTAAATGAAAAAAATAATTTCAACAGAATGTATTATTAAATAATACAATTTATTAAAAAATTATTTGCATTTAAATATTATTTAATTGCATTTTTTTATTACATTTAGTTACGTATAATTTATGAGTTACTTTCATTTAATATTTTGATTCTGTGATTTTTAACTCTTACAATTAAAATAATAAGTATATTTAAGCTATTTTATAAACTATATCGTATTTTATCCAAGTATTTTAATGGACATGTATATAATGCGTATTTGTGAACAAATAAGCAATTTATAGATGTAACTTAGGTATAAACTTATTATAAAGAAAGTAATACTTTCAACATACTAATTAAAATATACGTTTAGGTGAAACATATTGGCGATTAAAACAAAGAAGAAAAAAATAAAAAAAAAACATCGACGAATTGAGTACCTCTTTCTTTTGGGAAGTCGGTCAAAAAATCAAAACTATCTGAAAAACATTACAAACTTAGAACTATAAAAAAAACGTAAAAAGAATTACTCTAACAGAATGACACAAAAGATAATTTGGTTTTCTACTCACTTTTTGAAAATGGAAATACACTTAATCAAACAAAAGAATATAAAACAGTTCTAAACATGAGAATGTCTGTTTCTTTTTTTTTCAAATTTAACAATTAATATACATTTGAATCGTAAACAAAATAAAATTAACTAAAGCATCTGCTCAGAAAACAGAAATAAAACATTAAGAAAACGAACTGATAAGACAGAGAACGATGATGAATTCTTGTACCCTTTTTTAATCTTCTTTATTCTTCTGTATCCACAATCTTCTTCTATTTTATCTTTTATCTCTAAGAAGAATTTTATTATTTCTGTACTAAGAGTTCATGTCGTTCTACGTCATAATTCAACCAGATATTCAATCACTAACGAAATCGAGAATATAAATTGGCTGCAATTATTTATTTATATCAAATAGTATCGTAACATTTTAAAATAAACCAGTATAAATTTAATTCTTATTTTAAATTATTTTTCAACCACTAATTTTCAATATTACAAATAAAACAAACCCTTTTATCTATATGCCTAATAAATCAGTCATATCATATCAGTTTAAAATAGTTGTCTAGGGATATTCGACCCTCCCTGCGTTGTTTATTAAAATTAAATATTTCGGATAACGTTCACGAGCCAGCATGCGGTTATCTACCAAATTAGGTCATCACTATCACAAGTAACCTAATTCAGCGTCACTGCTATAGCTATTTTAAATAAAATTAGACACAAGACAGCAAACTAATATACTCAGAATCGTATCTAGGAACTAACTCTTGAGGAGATTTTCATTCCTCTGGAGATAATTCTCGTCTTTTTAGAAGATCTCTATGGACATCATTCTTCTTGGAGACACGAATCGATAAGTTTATTCTCCAATAACGGTTCAGAGGTTTAAGCAACAGAAAATCCCATAAAATACAAAACTCAGACAAACATACCAGCAAATAACATCTGACAGCCAGAAAAAAAAAGAATGTAAAGCTTAAAAAAACAACATAATCAGAAATCGCCAATGTATTTTACGTAATCCCAAAAAAAATAAAACATCGGTCTATATAGTTTATAGATATATTTACTAGGTATTGTGTACATATATAACCTAACAGTCACAGTAGAAGCAAAATTAATATAGGATTTGTAAAACATTTAAGTTTATAAAATACACGACATTTGCCGAAATGCCTATATTAGTGAAATTCTTAAACTAGCTGTAAATAAATGTAAGTTACATATAAAAAGTACAGAATAAGCATAAATAATAGTAATATTAAAACAAGCATATTAGTATGATAAAGATAATAAAAATAGGTAACGGTTAGGTTAATATTGAATTTTATTTTCATTTGATTCAATTTACTTATTATTTTCATGAGTTCCCTACCTTTAACTATTCATATTACAACAATTTATTTAGTTTTTTCTTCTTTAGTTTTCATCGTCATCATCACCAGTCTATATTAATCCACTGTTGGGTCTATATTACGTCATCAGTCTATATAAATCCACTATTGGGTATTATTACGTCACTAATCTTTCTATTCATCAGTACATTTTTCACAACTTCATTGGTCCGAACAGAATAATGATTCTCAAAGCTATCCAAACAGACCTCATAAGATATCCGGAAAATCCGGTGATATTCATAAATTTGACAGTTCACAAGACCAAGAAATAATATAACAGCAAGGGGTTCCTCGTATCTAGTCATTTTATCCAATAAGTCAAGATATAAAAGCTATGGGAATCTCTGCTACTTAGAACAAAGGACAATTAATTTAATTCTTTAACTTATTATTTAATTATCTTTTGAATTGTTTTATATAGCATTTAAAAATATGGGTAGGAACAAAAAAACTCCAGAAAATGTGCAAAAAACCATTTCTTTTTAAATATTAACACTGATTAAATAGTCAGTTATAAATACTATGTAAAATTACGACAAAGAATCTGAGTCAAAGATAGGTGATAATTTTCAGTACTTTTATCTAACGTAAGGCCGATAAATAATAGTTTATTTAGACTAGTGTCTATAATATGTACATATATGACATGAAAATGTTATGGACCGAAGTTCTCGAAACACATTATATTTAGGTATTGTAAGGCTGTATATAAAAAACTACCAATACGAAACAATATAGATAATAATAGAGATATAATATTAATATAATATAGCAACGGATGTAGTATTACATTGATTACATTGATTGGGATTACTTTAAAATTAAGGACAATTAAAAGGAAATTAACATCTATCAAAGTACAAAGGAAACCTCTTGAATTCTAAGTCATTATAATAAATTTAAAAAAAATAACCGCAAGTCTTCCGCGTTAGGTGTATTTATGTATAATTTAAGAGTTCATAAAAGAATTATTATTTAAAAATGGCGATAGATTTACACCAACGGTTATAATTTTTATTTCATCACAAGATGACAGAAGTCCATTAAAGCTTAGCAAGACACTATGAAGTTAACATAATAAATACAATGAAAAAATATAAAACAAAACATAAATTGACACAGAAAGTATTTGTAAAATTTCAAGTAACGCTATAACGGTCAACATCTTAACCCCGAGAGACAAAAACAGAAGTTGTTAACATCTTATACAGTAACAATGCTGTGCTCATTGCTAGAACTGATCAAGAGTAGGCTGAAAACATCTGTAAAGTGTACCAACTAACAATTTAAGAAGAAAGATGGAACAGGATTGTAAAAAAAAACAAACTTCAAAAGGTGCTCACTAACATCCAAACAATTACCAACAAAATTGTAACTACATTATTTTACTAATCGCTTCTGGAAAGTATAACAACAAAAGAATCAACATAGACAAAAGATCGACAAAATAGAATAGTCATAAGTTCAAAATAGAATGTTTAAAAGCAAAAAAAAAACATGTTATGACATTGCCGTGTAGTGCCGGCATTAGAATACAGAGTGGCACTACTCCTTGTCTTCCCGCGGAGGTCGTAAAAGGCGACCGAGGGACCCGCAGCACGAACATCCAGTGCAACGATCCTCTGACTCATAATCTACATCATAAAGCAATAAGTAAAGCGGGACTTATCGTATCCACCCCAAGTTTAAGGGCAAAGTACAAAAGGCAGAGGATTGTTACATCCTAAGTTTTTTTACAACATAAACTCGCCGTTGGTGTAAATGGATTACTGATTTGGTGACTATTTCAAATGTAAAATTCAGTTAACTTACCCTCTATTCTGAATCTAATACCATCAGATATAGGATCCACCCACCTAGGACTAAAAGCAACCATTCGGTTCTAGACTATCGTCAAAATCACCAAGTAATTTCAAACGTAACAAAAATTAAAACTATTATTTATGGCATTCAGTACTTATTTCTTATTATAATTATTCATTATTATATTTTTATTAAATTTATTTATTTTTCGTATGCGTATGCAGGCCTGCATCAGTACCCTAATAAATGTAAGTAATTACTAAGTGCTTTGATAATACAATTATTTTAAGCAACATCTAATCAAGTCTAATTACTAATCATAAAATAGAGCTAAGTTATTCAGTAAGGGATGTAAAATTACATTGAATGCGACGTGTAACTCTAGTCAAAATCAGTAGTTTGTATATACTTAGATTCCAAGTAAGAAAATTATATTTTTGTAATAAAATTTATGAAAATACAAAAAAAAAAATAGGTTTAAGTAAGTAGTCCTTAAGTTTGTCAGCATGTGGGATAAGGCGAACAAATAACCGCAAAACGCAATGCATCACATTTACGAACAAAGTAACTGACTATCTATAAGAGCAATTACAACTTTGCCTAGAATGAAGCCATAAAATCAAACAAAAGAGGAACTTTGACACACAACCAAAGGAAACAAACATTATCAAAATTCATCATCTGACAACTCTTGCAAAGCGCCATCAGCAACAAATTGAGGACAACCATCAGTAAATCAGAGTTCAAACTGTTTTCAAGAGGCAACAAATTCACTCACAACAAAAACAAAACCCCTAAAGAATACCGGAAACACAATAACCGTGTCTTGACCTCACGGTGTCGACGGTACAACCGTCATTTTTATTTATTTGTTTTATTCTTATTGACTGACATGAAAACATCACTACTATCTAAATTAAAACTATAGCAAGAACAGAAACATTTATCAATGGCTACCCAAATATATTCTCATTTTAATTTACTGTTACCGATACTCAATTCTAACTTAAAGTTTTCACTGAACACCTTCCACAGTTCAGTTAAAACTGTCAGA